ACGTCTTCTTACTGTTTGAGCGCTTAAATTGCCACCTCTAAACCGAATAAAGTGAGTTTTTAGACCAACAGCAGTTTGAAAACGATTTCGGAGCATTGTAGCCACCAGTTTTCTGTCTTCCCTGGCCGTTGTGCATCTTGGTCTGCCATTTCCTGGTATTCTAAGGTGTGATCCGGTCTCTTGGTACCGCTGGACTACCCGCTGAACAGTCGACAAAGATACACCAATGTTTCTGGCTGTTTCACGCTGGCTCCGCCCAAGTTCCAAAAAAGTTAGGATTCTGGTACATTCCTCTAGCGTGACTGCCATGCTTCACCTCACAGAATAATAATTATGCACGTGGAAGACGTTCACGATAAATTTTTTTGTGACAGAATAGAAATGGAAAGCATCTATAATGAAATGAAACAAAAAATTTGTTTTTAAAAATAGTCATTTTTTTTAATTTTGTTTTTCTAATGAAGTTTTTTTCATCAACCAGTTTAAATAATATGCTATTAGAAGCGCAACTAAAAAGTCTTTATTCTGATTTTTATTTCATTGATTTAACTTTTACAGTTCTGGAGGTATTTCAATTTTTGTGACTGACCCGTAATTTTTGGAACCGAGTGTATATTCACATGTATTTTTAAATGCATGTTAATATTGCAAATTAAATGTGTTTGAAAGATTAAAAAAAAAAATCTAATACAACGTAATAAACACCACCTACACCTGTTTTTTAATCATAAATTCGACTATTTAATCTAAGTTAAAACTCTAAGCATATACGAGTAAACATGGCAGAATAAAAGGTAGCTAGAATACCGTAGCAGCGTAGCGATGAAAATGCCACGTTAGATGAAATATCGTAGACCTTTGGAGGTCACACTACATGCTACAAAGCTACACCGCTACGTCAGTGCACTGGATTCTAGTGCACGGCTATATTTAGACATTCTATACGTTTATCATCTTTTGAGGCCATTTCGCTTAAAGCATTAAAAAGTTTCAGTAAATAAAGACATAAGTTGAAAATTTGGTTTCTATAAATATAACAAAAACATTGTTACAACATTGATTAAATTGTTAGTTTCAAAACTCCTCAAAAGTCTTTATTTCATAAGTTTCAAGGTTCCATTACAAATATGTGGGTTCAACTGGTGTAAGAATATGTGAGTCTCTGCTTTAATTGATGTTGTTTTAGTTTAGTATGTGGGGTGATTAATGATTCCTGCAAAGATTAGACCAATTACATGGCCGAAAGTTTGATCTTTTTACCAAACAGATTTGTAAATGCGTTGCGATTCGTTAGTTGGGCATCCAACGTTCCTGTTTGTTTTTTTTCTCATATTGTTATTTTTTTTATTTTTCTCTTATTGTTTAGCTCAAGAATACCGCCATCTTTATACGTATTAACTTAGATCCATAATTTTCTGCAAGTTCAGAGTACTCCTGACCTTATCTTACCTACATGTATTCTTTATCCTACATAATTGCATGATTTATACAAAAAGTTATTTATTAGTGTGATTCAGATTTAATAATAACTTTACACATCTCACACATGGTCGTCTGATTCCAAATTAGGCAGAGCCTGTGCTAAATTAAAATTGCTTAAAAATACTATACAAACTCAAAAAAAATTACTCGTACCTTGTTTATAATACTGACTTTAAGGGTCAGCGTTAATGGCCAGCCCTCAATAAAGCTCCATTTGTTAGATCATTAGGCACCAAATTTAATTTCAAGTCGAACTCCATGAGACCCTCCCAGCGCCGAATTCATTCTATTAATTCTTAAATTAATTGGATTACAAAACTCGGGTAAATCACTTTTAAAAGTAAGAAATAAATATTCCTTTTGAATTAGAATTTTGAGAGGTTTGGCTTAAAAAGTTGGGAATAAAAGAGAACATTTGGTATTTTTGGTAGAGTCTATTTGAAAAATTAAGTGCTGTTATTAGCGCTCTTATTTCCGTGGCAACCTTCTAATTATATCAGTGGTATATTGACATAAATTGGGCATAAGACCTATTCATTTTAGAATCAACACAGCCTAACCTTTTTTACTGCGATGAAAACTTCGTCTAAATGTTCTCTTGAATAAACATGTTTTCGAATACTCTTACTATTCACTTGAATTAGTTTTTTAACTATCTGTAGTTTTTGTACCGATTTTTTTTTTCACATTTTTATAAATTAAATTAATGTTTTTAACATTATATTGTAACTGAGGAAGAATAAACTGTGAACTCCGATCACGATAGCAGACGAGGTTAAATTAAAGAAAATCTCATGGACTGGTAAATTTAGCAAGTAGCTTTAAAATTAAACAAAGTGACAGTTCGACACACATATTGCTCTTAATTTGAGACATCTGAATGCCGCTCAATCCTGCCTGATGATGTCGTGGGCTTTACCGACGATCAAATTAGGTAGTGAGTGGCCTTCTGGAATACGTAATTTCAGACACTAGTGCGGGTTTTTGTATGCATTTTACTTAAGCTACCGGATGACAAGAAAACTAACTCAATAAGAATATTGCTTCATAACATTATAAAGCAATTCATAAGATAGCCAAAGACGCTGAAGCGAATTTAACATACAACATGCTCATCATTGTACATTATACGCATAAAATGTCACTCAACACGACAAAAGGTCTACATAGTAATATTCTCCTTTCATGCCTCCTTTTTCAGCACATAAATGCTTACTACCATTTTACTACTTTTTCTTCGCGAACTTAACCCTTCCGTACATCGAGGGGTAGGTACTCATACGGTATAAACTGCGTATTCACGACCATTTTACATCGACCCCAGCTTTATCACATGCCCGTCCATTTACCGCAAAAAAAGTAAAACCTTTAGTTCAAGGTATTTTGGGTGCAGAAGCTTTCAAGGAAAGGTACAGATGACCCATTTTTGTCGGCCGTTTTAGGGCTACCCCAAAAGATTAGTATTACTAGGACGGCCCTTAGAAATATATTCATATGAATACGAAAATATGAATGTTCCATTTAATTTTAGTTATTGGTAGGATATTCAAAGATTGAATAATGTGGGTTTTTGTAAAATTGCCAATATTTTTGTTCACTTCGACAATTAAATGAAACCTTTAGCGTGTGTTTACGGGAAGATTTCTTTTTTATTAAGGTGTAATTGTTTATGTAGGTCTGATATTTCAAAATACGAATACTTTAACATTTATATATATTACGGAGGACCGGTGTCTAGGTTGTTTTTAAAAAGAATGATATCAGCAAAGCTGACTTCATTATTTACGTTGTCGTGGTTTTCCTTCGTAAAAGCTGTAGTAAATAATAACAGTAAATACAATCAAAGGTGTATTCTAAGGTCTAACCAATAGTTATACATAGATCCTTACGGTAGTAGATAAAGATAACAGTAAATACCATTAAAGATGTATTCCAAGGTCTTACCAACAGTCGCACATAGATTCGTACAGTCCGGTTCGAGCGAGACTGATCTGTGCACCCTCCTACTGTCGCCCGTTTTTATACTAAACGACGACCCACGTGGTGTTTTAGGTTAAGTATTGAATTATGATAATGTTAATAAATCCGTCGTAAATATATTTTGATTTCATAGTTCTTACATGAATTAAGTGGTTATTTGTTAATTAAATTACGCTAATAAATTAACTAATCACTGTATTGTTCCAAAACTTCATTTTTTTTTTCCGGCATCGGCTTCGTTTAAGTAGTTGCGCCGATATATATTTTTGTTCACCTTTAGCTGACTATTTTATATCAATTTGCGTTTAAAGTAAGTAATAAAAACTTAATCATGATTTCTTGTTGTTTTTTTAAAGTGTTGCGACCTTCTAGAGTTGCTTGCATATATCATTCCAAACTGATTTAGTAGTGAAAAATCGGTGATAATTACTTACAAATATACTTGTTCACCCTAGTCTGTATCAGAGCTAGGGACAACCCAAAATATTGACATAAACAAAACATTGATATGGTTGACACGAATGCGTGATTTTGGCACGGCTTCGATTTATGTTGCTATCCACATCGGACCTTCAACATCTATCAGCGATATCACATGGCTGCAGTAATTTTTAAAATCTGCTGATTCAACATACTTTATGGAAGCCATGGTGAGTAATCTTTTGTCTCGTCTCCTTTAAAATTCCACACCCACAAGTGAGACGACGAAGTGTTCTAGTATGTTCTAGTGTGTTCTAGTATGTAGCGGAGCATCCCCTTAATGTGATGCTTTAAAATTTGCTAAGAAAAATTGTGAAATTCTTGTAATGTCATTAATAATTACAATTATTATAAAAACATCTACTACAAGATTACCTTGTCATATCATTAATAAATATTACAAGAATCATTGAAAATGAATTAAAAGATTGATTGATTTTTTACCAACTCCTTCAATTAGTTTGATTTTTCTTACAGGTTCAAGAATAGTTCAACTCAGAAGTATTCACATCATCATCACACATCAACAGCCTTTAATAGTCCACTGCTGGACATAGGCCTCTCCTTAGAAAGAAGGTTTTGGCCTACTATATCAGAAGTATTATTTCAGCTTTAAAAAAAACAAATTAAATATTTCAATTTTATTTACTTACATTGATTCAGTTCACTTATCGTTTTATACAAAAACTTTAATTAAATATATCACAATCAAATTAGCGACGAAGACCACAATAAACAATGTCTAATTACACTTAATAATTATGATTTATAATCTTTTACTATCGTATAAAGTAAAGTGTTCAATAATGTATTTTACAATAATCTAAGGAACAACCGGTTGAGGTAAAACAAACGATAGCAAACAACTAACTTTTCCAATGAATCTTGTCACGTTCAAACAAAAATAAATTACTTTAATGTAGGTCCTTTTTATGATTTATGAAACCTTTCAAATAAACAAAATAAAGTTTTAAGACAAGCAATTCTGATTATAATTAACCATTCTTTAAATTTTTTATGTTTACGTGACAAGAGATATAAAAACATATTTCATTAAATCAAGGTGTCACTAAAATCAAGATGGCATACAGTAAGATGGCAGCTGTATTGTTAGAAGCTCGAGATGCTAGCGCTGATGCTGGATTGCGGACGCATGACCGAAACTCATGGTAGTCTGCGCGTGTTATCGCACAAAAATGAACGTGCACACAAGCCGTATCACACTCTGATACTTCCGCTGCGTGTCGAACACGCAATGCATTTAAATACCTGTCAAAATAGAAATGGTTTATTAGATATAAGCGAAATTTAAAAAATAAAAGTGTCAAATTAAAAACGAAGCCAAAACTCAACTAAAAAACTTTTTAAAGCTAGCAAACAAAAGATTGGGTATATGGGTTACAAATCATTAGAAAATAAATGCAACTTTATGTCAACATTTATCCAGATGGATATGAAAACATATTTTTACAGTGTTACTTACAAAAATCAAAATTTATTTTATGGTGAAATGAAATGAAAAACTTCATTTACAGCTACTCCGATTAACAACTAACCTCGCAAAAGTACCGCGGTCATTGTGATTTCTTAATCTCTCAGCCAGAGCATCCAGAGATACTGCACTTACTTCTCTCAATCCATAATATTGAGTGAGATTGTACTCTATCGACCAATGAGTCTCTCCTCTGTTATTTGTTACATCTAAGTAATACTGTGTATAATCCAAAACCTTAAACAAGTAAATAAAATCAACAATCAATTAAATTAACAAACGACTTTTATTTCAAATCAAATACACTAAAAACGTTGAACAAAATTGAACTTTACCTTGCCATTATTTGAGTCAAACTTATAAAGCCTCAGCCCTGGATTAGATGTACTGCCTGCACCTCTCGGCGTCACTGATGGAGCCAATAGCGCCCATGAAACAGGTCGTCCTGGGAATGAAAATATTGACCTTTTTATATCAAATTACAAACTATCTCTCAATGGCAGCTGCGTGTGAGATGCATCCGGTATGCGTTTTTTTTTAAGCATAATAACTAAAGTTCTACGTCTACTGAAGACCCATGGGCATTGGACTAAATAAAGGACATTCCCAGTATGATTCTCCACTGTTCTCTAATTTTCCCATCCACCACCAGTCCGGTGGTGGATGGGAAAATTGGAGAATAGTTCACTATGGCAAAAATTGAAAAAGGCATACTTATGTATACAGCAGTAGACTGTTAATGGTGCTGGAATGGTAATAAATTTGGAGACGACTCTTTAAGCAAAACATTTTCATATTTCTTTAAAAAAATATTAATTTCAAACGTTTAATAGGAAACAATAAAATTAGCACAAGTAGGAGAAACTAAATCGAATGAAATAAGACCACAACCTATTACTTGCTAAAGATTATTAAATTGTTCTTGTTCTAAAAACAATATCAAAGAACTTCTAGTACTGATGTTAGTTAAACTATAGCGCGATTCACGCAGAGAGAACGTCGCTCTCCTTTGGGGGCTTAACTAAACATTGACTGAAGGGAACATAGATAATTCAAATATGTATTTTTGCGTTGCTACTTTTATATAATCATCATCAGATAGTTATTTTATATCTTATCTTAAGGTTTGTCTCGCTTGGATATAAAAAAAGACTTCAAAGCATTGGTAATAGGCACAAGTCAGATAATTTCATAGCAATATTTTCGTTCACTACAAAATATACCCCAGTTTTATTATTCATGAGTTTCACATTACAAAAGTTGGCTTTGTTGGGAACGCTTCTTGTTTGATTTCTATACCACTACCAACTATACTCGTACAACTTGTAGATGATTTAAAGGGGTATTTTAATTCTTAAGTATTGAAAATTATTTAATTAGGCACTTTGTGACTTTTGAAAACGACGGTTTTGGTGTCATGGAAAGCATTTTTTTTCTCTTTTTGCTATGAATATAAGAATTGTTTTTAATCAGTAATTATTATTTGTATATTATCGCTTTTATTTATCAATAGCTCGGTAGATCAAACAATTATTCACTGCCTACATTTTTTAATTAAATCCCTTAATTCTGGTTAAGCCAATTTAATGACAATCGCATTCAAATATATGCAAAAACAAAAACCCGTATTTTGAATTTTACTGAAATATTATTTGCGTTAAAAGCACCTGAAATAGAAAATTGATTTCTGTCTGTCCGTCTGTCCGTGTATCACTACCGATTTTCTTAGGAACGGGTAGACAGTTTGAAATTTATACCAGATACTGAGGTCTATGGTCCCTATTAGGAGTATAAAAATCAAATTTAGATTTTCGTAAAAACTTGTAAGTAACAAAATTTACCTTAATTTTCAGCTTATTATATTTTTTAGAATTTTCTCTTTACTTGTGCTGTAAGACCTTGCTTTTAACCAAAATTCTCAATTCTAGGTCAACCGGGAGTTCCCTATAGGTTTTGGGAAACCTATATGGTACGAAAACCTATATGGTAGTTCCCGTTGACCTAGAACCACGAAATTTGGCAAAAAGAAACGTATTACAGCTCAAATAAAGGCATAATTCCAAAAACTAAAAAAAGTTAAAAATTACGATAAATTTTGGTACTTACGAATTTTCGCGAAAATCTACGTAAAATCTGGGTAGGTACGGAACCCTCGGCGCACGAGTTCGACTCGTACCTGACCGGTTTTATTCATAAATACTTATTTACATACTTATAAAAAATCAGTTTGATTTTATGTTATATTAAAGCATAAACTTAGTAGACTAAATTCATTTTCTAAGACCTATGTTTCTGCCATTTTGAGTTAAAAATGTTCGTCATTTCAATTAAAGATTAAGATTAAGATAAATTTTGGTACTTACGAATTTTCGCGAAAATCTACGTAAAATCTGGGTAGGTACGGAACCCTAGGCGCACGAGTTCGACTCGTACCTGACCGGTTTTATTCATAAATACTTATTTACATACTTATAAAAAATCAGTTTGATTTTATGTTATATTAAAGCATAAACTTAGTAGACTAAATTCATTTTCTAAGACCTATGTTTCTGCCATTTTGAGTTAAAAATGTTCGTCATTTCAATTAAAGATTAAGATTAAGATAAATTTTGGTACTTACGAATTTTCGCGAAAATCTACGTAAAATCTGGGTAGGTACGGAACCCTCGGCGCACGAGTTCGACTCGTACCTGACCGGTTTTATTCATAAATACTTATTTACATACTTATAAAAAATCAGTTTGATTTTATGTTATATTAAAGCATAAACTTAGTAGACTAAATTCATTTTCTAAGACCTATGTTTCTGCCATTTTGAGTTAAAAATGTTCGTCATTTCAATTAAAGATTAAGATTAAGATAAATTTTGGTACTTACGAATTTTCGCGAAAATCTACGTAAAATCTGGGTAGGTACGGAACCCTCGGCGCACGAGTTCGACTCGTACCTGACCGGTTTTATTCATAAATACTTATTCACATACTTATAAAAAATCAGTTTTATTTTATGATATATTAAAGCATAAACTTAGTAGACTAAATTCATTTTCTAAGACTTATGTTTCTGCCATTTTGAGTTAAAAATGTTTGTCATTTCAATTACTAATATCACCCTTGTCTAAAATCATATATAAAAATAAATAATTTAATTTTGATTTAGTTGAATTAAATGGTATTTGAAGATGTCGTACTTACAAAATAAATTGAATCTCGCATTAAAAACATATGCTTTCATATTGCATTTTCGAATATTATTATTTAATCGATGTTCTTATTAAGTCACAATAACAGTTTTACTTGTGCAAAACAATTTAAGATATCAAAGCATTTCAGTAAACCTTTACAACCTTATCTAATGCATTTGTATTTACACTTTGGACTATACGTTGCTCTTGGCTAGTGTAAAGACAGTTTATTGGGTCCTCAATTTGAAGCAATTATATCAGAAGAATATGGCAAGGGGGTATGGGAAGAAAATATATCTGAGTCAAATAGTTTCTAAACTAAAACCTAATCTAAAACATAATTTCGTAAATTAACCTTCACTATAAATAAGTCTGAAAGTATCAGCGTGTCGATGTCCGTAGAACTGGCCAGCAATCACATCGCTGAATGCTCTAATAACGTGCACCAGCCGTCCGTTGGCCGTGGGGGTGAGCTCCCCTCCACCCGCCGCAGAAGAGCTACCGGCGTTGTGCCGTTCTTCCACGCCTGGGCCCGCATGAGCAACTAAATAAACCTAGAGAGACATATTACACTTAATTTAATATTTGTAGAAGTACATCGGTTTTTGAATTCATTTAATTGTAACATTTTAATTGTAAGAACTACACTTAACAGTACTCCTTACTGTATATTATGATAATTTACCATTTTTATTTTTTATGGGTTTTAAATAATTATTTGTGTCGAAAGCAATGTAGACATTAGTATAATGTTGTGTTAGCTGCTGCCTGCTGATTTCCAATCTCCTTGGTATTTTGTTTGTTTAGGTGAGTCGAGTCAGGGTTGGTAGCTTACATCACCAGCATCACAAATGTTTATATTTATTATTATATATTATTATTCTACCACATTCACACAACGCCATCTAGTCCCAAACAGAGCTTGTGCTACGGTCACTAGACAACTGATATAAATATATATTATATTATACTCTTTTTTTTTGTAAATACATACATATTATACATAGAAACACCCAGACCAAATCAAACATTAAATGTTCATGCACACAAATGTTTGATTTGAGCGGGAATTGAACCCGTAATCTTTGGATTAGCAGTCCGTTACGCAAACCACTACGCCATCCGGTCCTCATTTGTATTACTTACTTTCACAAATTAGTATAAAAGATTATTTACCATTTCATTTCTTCTTCTAGCTTTACTGAGCACCTGTTCCAGCCATTCCCACTGGGCTCTTCCCCTATGAGGGCCGTCAGTTCTGGCCGCACCACCAGCCCATAGTACGCTGTTGAGCACAACTATTCTCAACCTACTATGAGATTGTTCTATTGTGTAATATCCACCTGGAAAGAAACATCACATTTGAGATCATCAGCAATATCAAGACTTAGTCAATATCCTGAGTTGATATCCGCTCAACCGGTTTTTAAATAAATGTAAAGGCAAAAAGCTAATTATTATAATTATAAAGTGGAATTTATTTCCTCCACTAAACGCTAAGATACGAGACGTTATCTCCTGTCTCTTACCGCGAAACAGAGAAAAAATATTTGTTATTTGTTTTGACTTTATTGAGTATTGAAATAATTATCTATGTGGCTCTTGCCTAAATGTGAAGCAGACATAATACTAGAGGAAAAACTATATCGTCTCAGTAGTGGAAGTGGAATTTACATAGTGGTCACATGGAGAAAGGAAATAACTTCTACTCTGAGATCCCTATTATCGATCCATGATTTTTAAGATTAATAACATAAAAAAAGCAAAACCAACAACGACCAAGTAACTTTAATGCGCCTACATCTTGATCAATTGTAACAAATTATATTCTTTATTCCTTAATTTTGAACCATTTCATTTTACGTGCAGTTTTTGTTTTTCAAATTTAAATGGGTGAAACTACGACGAAATATACCATTTCAAAAACATTGTTACAATAAATAACGAAGTTCTGAGGTAAAAAATTAAAAAAAGAATATACAGCCAAATTGGGTACCTCCTCTTTTTCTCAAAATCGGTTGAAAATAATCAGACAAATAATAATAATCAATAATAATAATAATAATCAGATAATAACTACATGACGATGCGAAAAATATACATATTCAAGTTGAAGAGTCAAATTTTATAAGTAAATTAAACAGTAAAAAAATCGTACCAGTTTCAAAAGTCTGCAATGCTTCTGTGGGTAACCACTGCATCCACATTTCAACTAGCTTTTTGGAAGGTGGCGGGTCATTGTGCCCCAAAGCGGGGAAAACAAATTGACTGCTAAATGTCCTGCTCAGTAATTCTGTCACGTTTTTTACCGCCTCCAGCTTTACTTCTTCGCTTAGATGTTCCATAGACGAGGATAGTATATCTCTGTTAGAAATAAATATCATGTGATAATTCAACAAATATTATTATAACAATTATTGTAATGTAAAAAGTTCAATCATGTAAATCACAGTAAATTTGTATTAGTAATAATTTTCTTTCTGAGACAGTAACAAAACAATGAATTTTATATTAATTAGTCCTTTTATTTTGTTTTAAGACTTTGTTTTACCTTTTCATTATTGTAGTGTAATAAGAACTGCTCTATAATCTATTTCAGATTAGCCAAATATGTATTTATAATTAGTTGTTTAATAAAATAAATCAATAAAATTACAACCTTATGGTTATACTACATTATTGTAGTATACTATACTCGTACATTAATTGTACAATGTAATTGTAATACTAGACAACTCTTTTCCTTAACTTTAGTGCACCTAGTTACTCATTCTGCACTATTCTTAGATGGGCAAGTAAATATAGCACGTGGTCTGAAGTCCGCCATTGTACGATTTCACCACTGTGCATTAAGAATAAATAAATAAATATAGCTTAAGAAGAAACAAGCTGAATTAGAGTGTTAAAACAGTAGGGAATTTAAATACAGTCAAGTTATCCTTAAGAATAATAAGTAAAACATGGAGTCTTGTTGAATTAATATTACTCTTTAGTTGTATACAACGGGCATGTATCTACAACAGTTCCAAAGACTGGCCCAGCTATAGCTAGAAAGCAACAATAAATTTTAAGGCACAACACCTCTTGATTGAACAAGAAGCAGCTCCTACAACAGTAAAGTTAAAAAGACTCAAACTTTGAAAAGTTAGCAGGTCCCAGCACTTAGTGGTTCTAATTGATGATAAATGTTGCTGGCGGTGTTAGGTTTCTAAAGCAATTTAACTTTAATAAAAGGTATACAATAAATCTAAATTTCCAAAAACGGTTTATCTGTAAAAGACGGAATCTAATCTGCTTGCTCAAAATAAGGTTTTCCGAGAGACATGAAATCCTAGTCATATTTAAAGGTGCTCGTAACACAGGTCTACAAGCAGAATGCGTGAGTATTATTATCTACTATTATTAGCTACTACTACACAATAAATACTGGAATAAAGATGAATCCACTCATCTTTTTTTGCAAGCCAGCAAGCCAAGGAGGCGCTGCCTGCTGCTAAAACTTCCACGATCTTATTACATTGCTGTATTTGTAAATTGCCACGACAGAGAGAGAGAGAGAGAGAGAGAAAAACAGGCGACTAATTTGAACCTGCTGAGATTTTTGACAAGTCTACGGGGTACTACGGTGTAAATCTACAAGAAACATCTAACATACCCGGTCCATAGGACGAACTCCAGCGTGTCAGGGTGCCGCTCTGCCATTAGAGCGGCTGCGCTCTGTATCAGGGGCCATGAACTGTCGCATGTGTGGTCACGATGTCGACCGTTCCGGTGACTGTGTTCGTTGCTGCCGCGGTTATGCCTGCACCCTGATAGTTTTTTTTTTATTCAGTGAAACAAAAAAATATTGAATTACAATAAAAAGAAGTAGTTTTTAGTGTCTACTGGTTTGAAATTCAATTACGTTTAAAAACCGTTATATAAATGCACATGTACTTGACATGAAATGCAAAAGACGTTTTATATTTTTTTTCTACGAATCTTAAGTTTAAAATCCCTCGTTACGGTAAAATTTCACACACGTCCCACCGGATAAACTTAACACAAAATTACAAACTTTGGCCATCAGCATCGTCAACTTCCACGATCCACTATCAGAAAATTTAATTTATTTCAATGATTTTAGTCAGTAGGGCACTGACTTATTCTAGTAACCTATGTTATGTGCGGAATACGTTACAGTTACTAGTCAATCAGAGTTATATTAACACAAACCACAAAGACCACAATGACCTCGGGTCACGAGGATCTTGTAGTAGAAGATAGTAAGTAATTACTTATTCACTAAAATACAAAAATATTGAGTTCACCCTATTACATTTAATGAAGTAAAGTTTGGTATTTAAAACTACAAAGTCAGCTCCGGCGGACTGACAAATAAATAAAAATGCGAATAGCGAAATAAATGGTGTAAATAAATTATACCGCATATGACTAAAATAATTCACAATTATGAATACTAGCGCATGTATTATGAATTTTTATTGCCTCAATGCATCAGTTGGGTACAAAAAATAATAAAGTCGTCAACATGAAACTACGGGAAATACATAATAAAGTACCTTTATGTAGCTCCTGGGAGTTATGAAATGGATCATAATGAAGATCTGTGATGTGCCAAAAATATCCTGTAACAAAATTGCTATATAGTTTTTAATAGTACTTTATAAGAAACTAATGTCGGGACGAAGATTGTAAGTTTTATATTTTAGTAGAGATTTCTTGGATTTTTTTCTACAATTGCAAAGTTCTTTGGTATGTTCTAAATGTTTTAATGTGTGTTGCTTTTTTTTTTAAGACAGCTCTCGCATTAGGAATGTATCCTGTGACACGGGAGACTTTACAAACACACCTGAAACGGACACCAAGAACACGAAGACTCAGAACAACAATTTATAGATCACGCAAAGTGTCGTCCCATGTTGGGACGTCGTCATGTTTTATTGTTGATAGCATTTATTAGCTGCAAGAATGTAACTGATGTGAAATAATTATTGTTTCTGAAATGCTTGGCCTTACTGGCATATCTGTTAAGTGTTTTTGATTTAACTTATCTTTTTATTTCTGTTTGTTTTCCTTATTTAACTGTTGGTAGGTTGTCTACCCTTAATTTAATTTAAGCCTAAAACTTATACGGAAATAATAAAATATTAATATATAAATTTAGACTTAGAGTCAAATTAACTACTAATAAGACAAGTATTTTTTATTAGCAAAAACATCTATAATAAAACTGTTACTTAACCCAAAATATTTGCGTTGTCACTAGAGAATAGAAAACTGACAAGCTAAATAGATTGAATGGATACGTTGATCGATAGATAACTGACACTTCGAATACGCTCTACGATATTGATGTTGAGTAAAGTGGACGGGTATATACGGAGCACACCGAGATTACTAGAGAAACATCAATGTGTGTATTTAAGGACTTTTTAAGAATTAATAAAAATGAAATATGTTTTGCTAAACAATATTACAAAAGACAGAGGTATTGAATATATTTATTTAAGTAGTAACACAGGTATTACTGCTATAAATTGTAATTAAACCCGTTTTTTCCCCACCTCACTTTGGTGTAATAGAAATCCTAATAAAAAATTGACAGTGAAAATAATATGGCTGTAGGCAGTATAGTAGCAGCTTTTAGTTAATTCACGGAATCATGCTGTATAGAACTGGAAGTTTCTAGGGTGATCGCACAGTGCTACAAACAGCGACAAGGAGCAAAGAATAAAAAAGAAAATTTCTGCCTTACTAATTTTATAAATGATTATATTTGTAAGTATGCAAGTAGTTTAAGAAAGAATCATCATCATCATCATCATCAGCCTATCGCAGTCCAATGCTGGACATAGACCTCTCCCATTGCACGCCACTTAGATCGATTTTAAGAAAGAATAATTTAACAAAATTAATGGTGAGGACGTTCTGCTTTGGTGAGTACCCAAATCGGGTTGGACGCGAGGAGACGGCACAATAAGAGTACTCCGCAGCCGACTGGGACTCCGCCTAGCTCACGCTTTCAGACTGCCTAGCGTGGACGTCTGAACGCGAAGTGCTGGTCGACCAAATCGGACGAGACCTGTCCCCTCCAGCAATCATTGCTGGCGGGTGAGGAGGGATGTGTGGGGTGGTCTCTTTATGTGAAGTTGTAACGCGGATGATCCCGACCGTAGAAGACGTCGGCAATGATATCAGCCGTCGACGGGGCCGCGGGCCGCCAGAGAGTGGGGACCTCTGGTGGCAGATGGATTGATGTGGGGTAGGATGGCGGCTAATTGCAATAAGACGCAATTGGACCGCCACGTCGCGATTAAGGGGGAAAGAGCTGAACTACATACACAGGGCCTAATTAGGCATGGTGTCAATTCGGGGAGGACCTGAAATATCATGGTCCGGGTCCTCCCCGAGTAGAGCACCTGAGGCCAGCCGTCAGGGTTGTTTTTAGTGGTATCACCACATACCCCTGGCTCTTGAGTCCCCGAGGAGCAGGAGATCTGAAGGGATTTTCCACCCCGTCAACAAAAAAAAAGGTCGTTCTGTTTTTGTTATGTTTACATTTATTTAAAATTCGACACGGTACAGTGTTTCATATATTTTACACAAATATTTACTTTTACTTTATGGCCTTCTATTTTATTCCCTGAAAATTAAGATTATAAGAAACACTTGTCTAAAAGTGACCGAATGTGACATATCTAAACAGGTATACTATAATATTATAAGTTATATTTCAGAGTATTCCATATTGGAAATATTGACAGTATCGTTACTAATAATTACATATATTGCTGTTTTCATATTTTTGCTAAATTGAATGTACCTGATGATTGATGATTTTAATCGATTGTTAATGTTGTAATTATTTGACTATTTGCGTATTACAATGTTTTTGATGAGAAAATCATTGCCCTAATATATTTAAAACTTCAGTTCTTGTGAATATTAATGTTTACCAAGTATTATTATTTTATGTTCCTTATTACTTTGACTACTATGTGACTGTACCTATATACGATTCTTTGTTTTAAATCCCTGTGAAACATAGAATACGAATAAGATATTATCTAATCTATTTTTTTATTATAATTATTTCAGTTTGAGCCTGAATGTCAAGATGTCTTTGATTTTTGCAGAAAAAATATATCAATTAATCTTAAGATAAAAATGTATTCCATTAATTTATTTGAATAAATTGGATTGAAGACGACGTTGAAGAGCTTATCTTTCACTTTGAAATGTAATGAAATCTTAATTGAAAGCTTGCCTTAAAATATTTCTAAATGGCTGTCTAACCTAGCTTTTCTGCCTTTGATGATTTTCTAAACCAATTAACATTGACTAATGTTTTTATAATAAATTACATATATTAAATACATGATAACCTTTTTTAGAGGCGCCGGTGTTAAAAGTGCCGCGTATTGAAACAACACGAAGTTCTGTCTAGCATTAGCTTGAAATGATTATCAGTCGTCGCTCTATAATCTTAACTAACATTATATATTCATCCCCGTGGTATCGTAAGAGCCGACTGCGGGAGCAAGCCACGCAGGACAACAGCACCGCAAATAGAAGGAAAACTTGACACAAAACATATACCAAAACGTCTGCCCGTATAGTAGGCCAAAACCTCCTTTCTAAGAATAGGCATATGCCCAGTAGCACTATTAAAGGTTGTTGATGATTATATTTCTGCTAAAGTAAACTATCAAACCTTAAATGTTCAACAAAGTAATTTCCACAGATACAAAAAGGTCCTCCGAGATACTTGAATTAGTTCAAGCGTCTTAAGCAAGTAGTACTTATCCACACTGCCAATACGGGTACCTTTGTTTGTACGGATTAGTATATATAGTTAAGGTATTTTCTCAAGTGCACAGCTCATGACCTAACTCATTCTAAAAGTTACTGACACAATAGACAGTGTACAAGTAAACTTACCGATTTTAGCGTCAGTGAGGTTAAGCCACAGCAGGCTAGTGATGTACACAACAAAGTTACTTAGATTCATATTACAGTTTTACATGACGCCGGCACTGCAGTAGGTGTACCCTTTGCTTGACGTTGTCCATCACGATGTCTGTAATAAAACGAAATTATAAGTGGGAATAATAATGTATTTCACTATTTACGACACAATAATTATGGTATTTATTATATACCTACTCAATTTGTGTAAGTTAAAACTCGCATTTAAAATAATTATAATAGGGAAATTGGAACTTCATATGAGGATCGGTACCAAAACTCAAATATTTTTGAATGAATAGAATACATAAATATAAAAAAGAGGCTGAAGTGTAAGTTTAAATGTAAACATATACATACAACACTAATTACATTTTTGCTTCTCGTCAATTTTAATCATTCACAATAAAAACATGTTTTATCTAAATGTACCACAGCCTAACACAATTCATCATCATCATCAGCCTCTCCTATTGCACGCATCTTTGATCGATTTTCGGATTCTCGCATCCAGCTCCTGCCAGCCATTTTAGACAAATCGTCACTCCACATGGCCTGTGGGGGTCCTACACTGCATGAGACGAGCCGAGACGTGGTCTCCACTCAAGAACTCGTTTACCCCAACGGTTGTCGTATCTGCGGGTAATATGCCCAGCCCACTGCCACTTCAGCTTGCTGATCCCGTAAGCTATGTCGATGACCTTGGTTATTTGCCGGATCACCTCATTGCTGATGCTATCCCTTAAAGAAACGCCGAGCATAGCCCTTTCCATAGCACGCTGAGTGACTTTGAACTTGTGGACCAGACGTACCGTAAGTGTGTACGGTTCAGCTCTGTATGTCAATGCTTAGGACACACTCATTGAAGACTTTCGTCGCATGGCACTGTGGGATCTACGATGTTAAGACTCGGCGTAGCTCCCAAATGCTACCGAACCTAGCTGAATTCTTCTATTTGCCTCGTCCTCGAAGTTGTTTCTAAATAACTGCAATGTCTGCCCAAGGTATACATATTTTTGAACAACTTCCAGAACGGCCTCGTGTACCGCAATCGGTTCCAGTAGTGTATGTTCATTGAATATGACCATGGTTTTATCCAAGTTCATCCGTAGGCCGATGCGCATAGAAAAGTCATTCAGCATCTATTGTACGTCCTGCAACGTCTCTGCCATGATGACGATATCAATCTGTAAATCGTAAATGAGAAATTTTTTCGCCATTGATGTTGATGCCACGCCCTTTCCAGTGCAGCGTCTTGAACATGCCCTGCAATTACGGGGAGATAATGTCCCCTTGTCACTCCTTGATGCAACAGTATAGGCCTTGTTTGCTGATTCTGTACTTACGGACGGATATAGTGGCGGCTTCGTAGAGACATTTAATCACTTGGATGTACCGCCAATCTACTTGGCAACGCTGCAGGGACTCCAGAACAGACAGAACAAATCTGGATCGAATCAGAAGCCTTCTCATAGTCCACGAATGCTAAACACAGGGACTCATTATATAACAAACTTCATCTTCAAGTATTAAAGAGAAATGGGTAGATAGGTAGGGTAGGTGTATAATCCACTTTTTTTTTACAATTGATGATTAAAGAGAATGTGCCAAGAGACACATGTTTTATCAACAATATACAAAGGATGGCAAACCTTACGATGGAACATAGAACTTTTTCAATAATTTAGTGGTAATCACGGCGTTTAATGATGTTATTTTTGTCCGAGATATAAATAAATATGCAAATTTATTTTGACACAAACTTCTGCAGTTTCATTATTTATACTTTCATTCACTGGTTTGTTTAGTTTGAAAATGCACAATTTGGCACATGTTTGTTTAGTTTTATAACTCCGGTGAACTACATACACCATTTATTATCATAACCTGACTTTAGCACACAATTATGTTTCTTTCACGTACACTTTTACGCCCTGTCACGTGTGGCAAGTCGCCACTCGCTGCAGTGAAAACTACTGATACACTTGTTGTCCGTGGCCTAGGCCTTTAAAATTTCTTAACTCGGACATTGTCTCTGAAGTTTATTTACCCGAAGAGCACTAAATGCTTATGTCCCTCACTCAAGCCTTTGGGTGCAGGGACAATTTACTAAGGGTAAGTTTTGATACAAACAAAAATTTATTGTTCTCTACCTTCAGAAAAATCAGTCCATTTCGTGTTGATTCAACTATTAACAAAGTAAAATATTACAGATAACTCGAGCATATAACCTAAAACAATATAAATGGAGTCAAGGAAAACAAAAATTTTGAGGGTATTTTTGGCATTTTATATTTAATAGAAAGTGAACTGTTTACAGACGTAACCACTTAGAAAGTCAACAACGGTCGATCGGCTTATTCATATTTGGACAGCTGGCAAAATTCAGGCTTAATGCGAGCAGTTCCTTGCTCCGAGGTCAAGGAGCCTTGATTTTCTTTCGAATTGGTTATTTATTTTTCTCACTACCTTTTCCATTACGGGTCAGATATATTTAGGTTGAAAGAATTGTTTGGTTGGAATTCCATTGTAAGAAAAGCAAATTTATTTTTATTTTTTTATTGTTTGTTTGTTGAGCCATATCTGTATAGCACTATACAAAAACGTGCTACTAAGGAAAGTAGTTTGTTACGAAGTAGTATGTAGTTTATGACTAAAACTGAGCACAAAAATTTTGGCAACCAACATCAAGTGCATTAAGACAGGTATTCTATCTTTGTGTAAGATGTAGGTATAACATCGTGTTAATTCATTGTACGTAGAAATAAAAAAATGATCAAGGTATGTGTAAGTAAATATAAATTAAAATGTTCAATGTTCAAACTCGACTGAAGACTAATTATTTACTAAAATATCGTCCAAATGTTATCATTATTTTCTCAAGTTATTGAAAGCCTTGTCCACAATAAAACTAGTAATTTTTACGAGTATATCGTTCTAAATCCTTTTCAGTCGGACATAATACTACTTAAAATCTTATTATCATTGCTGATAGGATTAAATCAGGATATTAATTGGGCCTCAAAAAGGTAAAATAATATCTTGTAATTATTATTTTTTGGGTACCAACACTACGCGTATAGTGGAATGATTTTCTCTAGTATTTTTTTTGTTGAAAATCGTTGGATAGATCTTTAAAAGTTATTAAAGTTAAAAATTTTTTGTTCAATTTTCCCCCTCCATACAAGTTAAGCTGTCGACTGGAAAGTCCCGTACCGTACAATAACACCCCAAGATTTCGAACCATTATCTATTTAATACTTAAACCATTACCGGCTAGAATATTACATATTTTATTTACAAAACCACCTACAGCGCACAGTTCGAATACAAAGTGATCTTACACCGACGGTAAACACGAGTAGCGCCCTTAGGGTCGTATCTTAAACAAAACCCTTCTAACCTAGATATCTGGGGGCCTTTACGCTTTGTATAGGTACAGAGCACGTAGGGAGGTCTTTTAATTAATTTGCGTAGGTGCATTAATTTTGTGAAGAGGCCGTTCCTCTTTGCTTACTGCAGGGTAATGCTGCCAAATGAATGTATGAGGCATTGTTGGGTTTCATCTTCCGTAAGTTGAAATATTTTGCCCTAATTTTAGAGATTTGGGGTGCATATATAGAATATTAGTGACTGTAATGCAAGTGTATATAAAGTTTATATGTCGACAAACTTTAAAAAGGCATAAGAAGAGTTTGAAATAATAGAAATTGATAGACTGGTGATGTCACACATGTGTTCTAAGTAAAACATAAGTCTCTTGAAATGGCCTGGCCTGTTGGTCTAGTGGTTAGTGATTCTGACTTCTGAACCAGTGGCACTGGTTTTGATTCCCACAGAGGACAAACTGTCCTGAAAAAAATGAACGAAAACTGAGAAACCTGCTGGCATCTCTAGTTATATATATATATTTGTATGCATGTATTATTGTATGTATATGTTGTTATATTTATATTACTTCACTGTTTTTCTCATTTCTTCTCTTCTCTTTCTGTGATAATCAGTATTTCTTAATATTTATTTCTTTGAAATTCTCAACAAAAGCATTCATTTCAACACCACCCTACGGTAGACTGATAGAGAATGCCTATGGCATTACTTCACCATTGTATATTTTGTGCATAAAGTTATTAAATAAATAAATAATATATATATATGCAGTAACTTGTCTTCAATCAAGTAATATTAAAATAATAATATGCTAATTACAAGCATTGCAAAAAAACGTACAGTAAGGAATGATGATGTGGCCAAAAAATAAATGTCTATAACATGTTATTTAATAATTTACTTATAATTTATTTTTCATCATTAGCAGGTGATATATTCTCGTCAAATTGAATGGGACTAAATTTAAGGATATCCCTCGAATAAGCTGGGATTTAATTTTCAATTTCTAACTTAGTGACAATGGAATTACATCGAGAGTATACTTACCCTTTCGATTGCTAAATATTTAATTGGGAATCGGCTCAAAGTTTACGGAGAAATCGCGTAACAAACGAATCTTCTCTTTTTTACAGTTAGTTAAATATGGGCTTTTCATTTCTAAGTCAACGTAAAATATACGATAGAAATATACGTATTCCAATTCTTGTACTCTAACTCCAGTTCTGGTCCCAAATACGACTTCAAAAAATTCATGATATAATGCAAATTAATTGAAATGAATTGATACTAATGTAATATTACTGTAAACAGAACGACTGTGGTTCCAGTAATCTCCTATCTAAAATGTTGAGAAGCAGTTGTTAAAAGTAGTATTGATATCCTTCAAAGTGCCAGTACAATGTTCGCCATCTAATTTATATATATTTTTATTAAATTAAAAAAATTATAAGGCAATTCTAATTTAAGGTTGCAACAGTGTTATTAGCTGTAAATAAATCATCACGATTACAGAAACGTATTCTTTATTGCACGAAATGAGTATGAAACATACAATGTAATATATAAAAAAAAACATTAGTACTATGGCCTTATCAGCAGTCTGCTATCTCTTACAGGCAACCTTTAGATTGACTTTTCTGTACAGTGATATGT